CAAATTATAGCACCGGAATAATAATTAATTCGTTTCCATAAATTAATTTTAATTATAACTGATTTGTTAAGTTTGTTTATTTCTCCTCGAAGTGATTATATCTTGAGAAATAAAGTGATTTTTAAACCGTAATTATCCAAATGTGAAAAGTATACAAAGATGTCTGTTATTTTATATTAATATTATTTTTATTTATATATATTAATCATAATTCCAGGTGCACTAGTGTCAGCTGGTTATAAAGTGTCAACGACCATTCGTCCAGATGAGAACTCAATTAAATGTGATAGAGACGACGCTTCGTCCATCAACAAAAATGATTTGGAAGCAGAGCTGTCACGCTTCGACACACTATGGAAGTCTTATGGTAATTTAAAGTATTTGTAGAAAAGTATTTGCTTGAGAGATAATGTAATAATTATCTTAGTAAAGAAATCATAATACAAAGTGATAAGGGACTGTTCAAAGCGAAGTCTTTTTAAGGGTATAGATATTGATTTATACAAAGATAAAGATTTTTAGTAATTTTGTTACTGTGAAAACAAAATGTAAAAGTGTTGATCATAAAAAATAAAATTAGAATTAAAATAAAATAAAAATAAGATTTTACATTTAAAACATAAGATATCAAATAAGAAGCTGTGTATATATTTATTATTGAATTGAGATAATCATTTTTAAAGTATACGTATATGTACTTACAATACTTCCTGTTAAATGTCAAGTCACAATAGTCATACAGCCTTCCAATGGAAAATATACAGTAAGGAAAACAAATTGTAGAATGTTTTCTTGATTATTCAAAGACCAAAGCATTGCTTTTTTTGTTACGTTATGATTTCCGATGTTATTTATATCTAACTTCTAATTTCATTGAATCATCGGATTCCTATGGAATTGTTTTCACAAAACTTTGATTTTTTAGTCAAGAAGATACGCAGAATGGACGCATGCCGTACGTCGTATTGGGGAGTTGTAAGTATTTAGTATATATGTATGTATGTGTAATATTTTTCCATTCTAAAATATTTATCGGTTCCACTCCCATTACAAGTAAGAAAAAATGGGGATTGTCGAAAATATATTAATCTTCCATCTCTATTTAAAAAAATTATAATTCTTGAAACAGAAATGGAATAATATAAACTTAATATTGTTTTATTTTGCTTAAAAAATATGTATAAACCAAATAGTTACCTTATCCAATAAGTAATAATTAATTATTCCCAGGACTTCTGAAGCTAGATCGGTCGGAGGAACTCTTCCAGCGAGCACTGGCAGAGCTGCTTCATCAACAAGACTCACGCATCAGGTATTAATATTATATTTATATATATAATTTTTCTGTGAGTGTGTAGGTCACTGAACTTCTCTCAAACGACTGGACCGATTTTGATGAATTTTTTTATGTGCGTTCAAGGGGATCTGGGAATTGTTTAGATTCACAATTTTGTCCGCTGGACAATGTTTTTTAAATTAATATTTAATTTATTAGTAGTTGTTATACAAACGTTTTTTTGGCATTAAATTTGACAACTAACTAATATGTCAATCATTCTGTCGCACTTCAAAACACGGAGATTCATGGCTTTAATAGGTAAATTCCAAAAGTATAAATAAAAAAACGTTACAGATATTTCTTGATTATAGGGCGATACGAAGTTCGCCGGGTCTTCTAGTATAAGTATAATATGATGGTACTTCCCTCGCACTAATCTTCTTTCATATATTTATGTAGTGTTAATGTTATCTTATAGGAAGCTAACACGATGGCTGAACGACATTTAGGCTCCACTTTTCTTCTGCCACACGTGCACCTTTATAAACCAGACCTTGTGGGTATTGAACTTACACAACTAACGGTTTGATTCACTACTAAAACACTTTATTATTATTATTTATATATATTTGTCTTCTCGGCTTACACCGGTAGAATATAAGTAACCTTTACGGACTGGCGTCAAGTAGAGGTCACTGTTGGATTGATTTAAGTTTGTGGAAAGATTTCATCTAATTCTAAAAATTTCCTAACTATTCTACATGTGTTCAGTATAGCGGCTTTTTGGTATTGTATATAAGAAGTGGGTTTCAGTCCAATAAGTTTTAAGGCTATTATGTAAATTATTGGGGATCACGTCGGTCGTTGATAGGACTATGGGTACTACGTAGACCTTATTTTGCTTCCAGATGCTTAGGACTTCGCTTTAAGGTCGGTGTATTTATGAATTTTCTCCGCTATTGTTTTTTGCAAAATTGTGAGTGTTAGGTACAGCTATGTCAATTAAGAATGTAATTTTATTGTGTTTGTCTGTGAGCACTATATCAGGTCAATAGTAATGGATGGTCCTATCAGTGAAAATGGCGCGATCGTAATATAGTTTGTGTTTCGTTTCCTAACACTGTGCTAGGTGTGTATTTATAATACGGAGTATAGTTATGTATTTGGAATGAGCTTGTGTTTTAGTGCTAACTGTTGGTGTATAATGTTAGCTATTTGATTATGTCTGTGAGTATAGTCTGTTTGTGTAAGATTCGGACAGGCTCCTGTTACATGTTGTATCGTTTCTGGTAACGTGTGGCACCTGCTGCATCTATCGTCTACGATTGTTGGATCTTTAATTATATGTTTTCTATAATTTCTTGTGTTGATAATTTGGTCCTGTATAGCTATTATAAAACCTTCTGTTTCTGGGAATAGGGAGCCTACGGTCAGATATTTATTTGAAGCTAGTTTGTCAATATGTGGTTGTTCGAGATCATTAGGGTGTCTACCATGAAGTGCTTTCTTCTTCCAGTTTTCTATTTTAATTTCTTCCGCTTTATTTTCTGCTGCTATTATTGCTTGTTCCTCGGCTAGATTTAACGGTGTATGATTTTGATCATTTTTAACAACTGCTTTATGGATTGCACTGATCTTTGATTTTCGGTGGAAAAATTCTGTAAGACTTGCTATTTGTTTGTTGCGTAATAACATAATATCAATAAGACCTCTTCCTCCATTTTCTCTTTTAATTGTCATTCTTTCTATAGCTGATTTTGGATGTAAGCAATTGTTTTTAGTTAAAGAAGTTCTTGTTCCTATTTCAATATTATTTATATCTGTTTTAGTCCATTTGATTACACCGAAACAGTAAGTTAAAACTGGAATGGCATACGTATTTATTGCTTTTATTAAATTCTTACCTGCAAGATAACTCTTACACAATAGATTAACTCTGCGTTTGTATTCGTTCTTCAGCATAATTTTTAATTTGGTATGATCTAGTCCTTTAGACTGATGGTAGCCAAGATATTTGTATAATTCATTGGGTTCCATCGCAACTATACTTTCGTGCTCATTGAGTGCGTAATCACCGGGTCGGATCTTTCCTTTAATTATATGAACTGTTTTACACTTGTCTAATCCAAATTGCATATTAATATCTTTACTAAACAGCGCTGTTGTATCTATTAATGTTTTCAGAAGTTTCTGTAGTATCATGTCTGAGTTTGTATCCGGCCCTCCAATTACGTAGCATTTGGGAAATGGGATTAACAGCGAGACAAAACCACATGGGACTCAAGGAGTCACCTTGATATATGCCTTTTTTAATCGTTATTTGTCGAGAGGTGATGTTCCTTAAATACAACTTTGTTTTCCAGATGGGCATTATATTTTTTAGGAATGTAATTATAATGGGATTAATTTTATAAATTTCTAATATACGTAATAACCAAGAATGCGGAATGCTATCAAAAGCTTTTTTATAATCAATGTAAGTGCAGTGTAAATTTCTTTTATTTGTTGCTGCGTGTCTGTGAATCAAAGAGTCGATAATAAGTTGTTCCTTACATCCCATGTGGTTTCGTCTACAGCCCTTCTGTTCTTCGGAAATAATATTGTTTTCTTCTATATGGGAAGTAATTTTTTGAGTTATCGCGGCAGTGAGAATTTTGTATATAGTAGGTAAACAAGTTATAGGTCTATATTGGGAGGGTTGATTTGTATATTTACCTTTAGGTATCATAAACGTTATCCCTTTTGCAATAAATTGTGGTATGGATTGTTGTCCATGTATAATATCACTGTAGTTTTTGGCTAGTATTGTATGAAGTGTGGTGAATTTCTTATACCAATAATTATGAATTTTATCTATTCCAGGGCATTTCCAGTAACTTAACCCTCCATCACTCGCGCGGTTTTTTAGCTCGTGAGCACTCGCGGGGTGTTGGGGCCACCCCACATACTCAAAGTACATTTAAATAAACATAGTAGAAGTTAATGAAATTTCACCTATTTTTTATTATTTTGTGTAGTATAACGTATGTAAATAACGTAACTAAATTTTATAATCAACTTTATTACTGTTCTACAAAACATTATAATAATCAGCCTTTTTAGTCATAATATTGAGATCATTTCTCAAAAAAGAAAGAAAAACAAAAAATTTCTTCGTTGCAACATATTTTTTTTCATTGAAAAACAAAATATAAGGATGAAATAACAAAATTAAATAAAATTTTCTTAGTTTTCGCAACAAGAACTGCAAATTAACTTCATGTGTTTTTGACACAAGGTTTTTTTACAAAAATTGCAATGACTCAATGTTTTGATGTCCTTAGAACGTGGACAAACTATACAGCGCTGCTTTTTTGTTGGCGACATTCCTTCGGTGCTTGATCCAGGAGCATTCAACATCCTCTTGAGTGCTTTCGGTAACCCTGGTTGTGAAGATCTTCTATCAAGGTGACCTTGAAACATGCTCAAACCCAATGATTCCAAAAACTCAGGCCTTTTCATGTTACATTGTTTATTTTTTTGATGTAAATATTTGCGCAACTAGTTATTTCTGCAATCATGTCGTCAGTAATAAAGAGTTGGAAACATTCAAGTGGAGATTTACAAGTTTTGGCATTACGGGAGCTTCAGTAATTATATTGTTAGCGCGGGTTCTAATTGCAGTACGACCCTTGACTCTGTGCCATTTAGTTACTTTATCTTTTCCAATGTAATAATCTCGCTATCGATCCTCAGTTTCAGCCTCTTCTACTTCAGACTCGGATAAAATATCCTGTTCTGATAAAGAATCATGATCAGATTCTTGAATAAAATCTTCATCCAAGCTGGCATCACTTTCCACTGCAACATTATCTTCGTTATCCGATATTATTTCTTCTAACAAAGCTGCCAATCTCGCTTGCTCCTGTTCACAGCTCATCTGAAAAGAAAAATAATTGAAAAAATATTACATACCTACGAACACAGAAAGGTACCTAATTAGAAGTGTGTGAAAACCAAAACCATTACATATATGCTTAGAAATACATAAATATACATTTATAGTAAATAAAAACACAACTTAATAATTTATGTTTACAAAACAGTTGAAATCACTTACCTTGATGATAAAGTATTCTCCGCAAAAGTATAACACGAGCACTCGCGGGGTGTCGTGACCACCCCACGCAAACTTTGAGACGTCCTCACACTGCGAGCACTCGCGCCACGCTACTCCCCCCGCCCGTTTCGATGCGTTTAAAGGTCACTTGAAGGTACTGAGACGAGCCGATGCATAACTCAAGAAATTATTATTCTTTTTTACGTTCAAAAATGCGTGGGGTGCCGATAGCACCCCGCGCGAGTGATGGCGGGTTAACCTGGCTGTTATATTTTTGATATCTATTTGTGTTATATTTTCAAATTTCATCTCTTCTATCTGTTCCCACTTCCGTTCTTCCTGAGTTACCCATTCGGCTCCATCATTATGAGAAACTTCATCTTCCCATATGTCTCCCCAAAACCTTTCTAAATCTTCCTTCGCTGGTAATTCTGTATTTGTGTTTATAATACTATTATCAGTTTTGTTAATGTTTCTGTAAAATTGTTTCTCATTTGTGTAGAATAATCTATTGTCCTCTTTTCTTTGTAATGCTTTTTTATACCTGGCTAGTCGGTGTGCTTTAAGAGGTAATTTTTGTTTCAGTGTATCTAGTATTTCTTCCGGTTTGTAATTATTATTACCATGATTACTGTGTATTCTATTGTTTAAGATTATTTTGTTAACTCTTTCTATAATTTTTCTTGATCTGTTATTGTTTATATACTGTGTCAACCTTCCGATATCGGATCTTAATTGAGCTATATCCCTTTCTAATCTTTCTTGCCATGCCGGCTTTCTAATTTTCCTATTTTGAGTTTTTGTTTCCGGCACTGTTTTGTAACCAAGCTCATGAGATATAACAAACGCGCTACAGTAAATAAGTGTATGAATATCTGTAAGTTGGGCATCTTCTGAAAAGAATTTATGTAATATAATACTATTAAATCTCCTAACTAACTTCTCAAGGTGTTTGCTGTATGTAAGTTTAGGCAATGTTGGTCGAAGTGTGGGGTCTGTCCCAGAAAATTCAATAAGAGTTTGTTGTAATTTCTCTTGAAGCTTTTCTACATCTTCATCTGTCGATGTAGTAAGATAGGGAATTTTTATTTCATTTTCCATAATTAATACAGTTGTAGGTTCTGTTTGTGTAGCCGCATGAGAACTTGATAAATTGTGAGTGTTTTGAGTAAAATGTTCAGAATCAGTTCTTGAGGAATTAATATAATGTGAATGTATTGGGAAAGACTGTAAAGAAAATTCAGTGTCGATATGTTGTGTATTAATTTTTGTCTCGGTATGCTGTGTATTCACGTGTATCTGCCTATTTAAGGGTTGAGGGTGTTGAGATGCCTCTTCTAGTTCCAACTCTACTCGAACTTCTTCTCTGAGTTGTTGTATTTTTTCATCGCTAATCATCTTATTTCTAACTTTTACTCTTCTTTGGTCTGAAATCAGCTGCTCAGAAACATTGACGTTGGGATATTTTTTAACAAATTGTTCATGCAAGAGTTTTCTGTATATAGTGAGATCTGTTTCTAATTTAGTGATTTTGAGGTAGGTACGCATGATAAACGTGTTTACCTCTTCAGTCCATCGCATGCGTACCCGGGTTTTACCAGCCTTAGTGGACACAGGTAAAAGGCTGTTCGCCCCCTGTGCAACATCTAAGTTGGTTAGTACGGAGTTTATTGGTATTTTGGATTGAGAATGTGATGCTATTGAGGTAGATTTATGTAATGAAATGTAAGGTTGAGAAAGTCTATCCTGTCTATGGTTTTCAAGTTGTGAAAGATTGGCTGTAACATTTTCGGGTGACCCGGAGGGAGCCCGCCTATTCAACTCCTCTCCGCCGACGGTTCGTATACTGTGGCACCCAGCGTCAGCTCCAGGTGCGCCCCGGCGATCGCCCCCGGGAAGCGGCCCTATACGTTTCTTCCTTGCTCTTGTCTCCATTGTAAATGGGTTGCCATTGCCATGTTAGCCGTGCCAGTAATATGTATATCACGTGTCCGCACCCCACGTGAATCAGATGGTCGATTCGGACGTATGGCTGGACTTATTATTATTATTATTATTTGTTTTTACTGACATTAGTTATAAGGTTGCCATGTAATACTAAAATTAAAATATGGACTATGTCTGAGACAAAATAAATTATTATTGTTATAAAGACTTGGGCCTGTCCATAAACAACATTAAAACGTTTTTGGAATATACTTCAAGGCAGCCCTAGTAGGTTCTTTTCAAATTTGATTATGTAGAGAGAGGAGCTTGGACGCGATAGTAGTGAGCATTTAACTTGTGATAGACAGGGACCCCTTAAACCTACACCTGGGTCACAAGTCCCAGTCACTGTTGAAGCTCCTCTCACTACAACGATGGATCCGACAAACACATATGAATACATTGAATGATGAGAAGTTTTATCTCTGTAGTTTTAATTTTTCTCTCACTTACCTATTTTTCCGACCAGTCCTATGTTATATTTCTTTATGCTGCATTTATTAATTTCTTAAATCATTCATACAAATATTTTTTTTCTTTTTTTCAGACCAGTGATGTATCTGAATTCGACTCCCTGTGAAGACTGTCCATAAAAAGCGAGATGTCACACAACATTTAGAAAAATTTGACAAAAACATTAGAAAGTTACCAATTTTTTTTAAATTACGGATCCAGTGACATTTTAGCTTTTATATCTATAGGTTATTTATTTTAAATTATTGATATATTTAATGAATAGACAATTTTTATTTAAATATCATGTGTTATACACGTTAAGTCAAAAGAGGCTTAAATCGCAGAATATTTTCTTTTCTATCAGTATTGAGATATTTTTGTATTTATATAGAAAAATATTAGTAATTTCCTAATTTATATTTTAATTTTATAATTTTCACAATAAACAAACACAATTTTTGTCAATATAAAATGCCATAATATATGTAAGCGTTCAAAATAGATTTAAGTCACGAAAATTATTTGAATGGGAAATCTACTTATACACAAAACTATTAATAAATTATTTATTTGATTTCCCCTTTGAAGATTTTTCGTATTATTTTCTTTGGTTATTTTATTGTACAACAAAATGTGCCAATAATCAATAGATTAAATTCAGCTTTTCAAGAAGCCGTTTATACAAATAAAAATCAGTGTTATACATAATTGTATATTCTTAAATTATTTCTGTATTTTTATGACAATAATAATTTATTCTTTTGCTATTTCTAAATAAACAGTTATAAAATAAATATATCTGTTTTTGTTTTATCTTTTATCTTTTTTACAGATTATAATATGGGTTAATTAAATGAAACAACCAATTAAATATGAGACATAGCGTTTTTATTCAATAATCAATAATATTTTTGTTTATCGATAGAATATTTAGCATTAATAATACAAGGAAACAATAGCAGCGATGATTTATTTAAAATTATGTAATATTATAATCAAGCACACATATATCTTAAACAATTTTAACTATTTAATTTATCCTAGCGTTTTGCTTCTTTATTATATGTAGAAGCAAACGAAGCGGAGTTACATTAGCTCTAACGCCAGCGAGTGTTCAAGCTTGTTATTCTAACAATTCTAGGTCTTACGTGCTTCAGTCTCAAACCTTTTTTATTACATTCCTCATGATACCATTCTTTATACATACATTTATATATATCTTTAAAACGATGTGAGCAAGCGTTGCCGTACATAATATTTCGACGATCAAATCAACTAACTTAAAATCTAAACATATAAAATTATTATGTGTTATTTTTTAACGAAGTTTCATTTAAAAATATCTTTATTTAAAATGTTATTAATTTAGATTGATTTTATAGTGTCCGTCAGTGATGCTGATCTTGAAAACCAATAATAATAATACATTTTGTACCTAGAGTCGGTTGGGGAAGACAGGCATATAAGTCGCCAGCTCACCACGGTGGTTGGCGCAGATCTCGTTGCCGGCAGTGGTTCAGGCCATGGTCGGTAGCGAGAGTGCCTGGGAGGCGGTGGTCCGGTTCAGCGAGTGCGTCTCGCGGAAAGAGGCCGCTGAACGAGCGCGGGAAGATGACCCCTACTCGGCGCCCCTGCGTCGACGAAGGCTGGGTAGAAGGCAGCGGGCCTACGCTCGCCAAATGCCTCCCCAGTGAGAGGAGCCTCCGGGCGTTGGTGGGGAACCGGCGTCCGGGCAACATAGGCTGGAGTGAGAGTGGCGTGCTTGGCGTTCCCGGCACGCTGCTCTGGAGTCGGAGGGGAAGTGTGGTGAAGCCACTGTGACCCCTGCCGAAGACGGAGTCCATGGGACTCGTGCGTAGTGAGCGGAAGTATGGCTTGCCGTTCCCGCTCACTAGCCTACACACAGCGCAGAGAACGCCGAGGAGTTTAATGGGTGGAAATCCCACATGCCCCCGCCGTGTTTTCCCCTGCGGCGGGAAGTCTTTGAAAGATTCTCCTCGTTAAAAAAAAATTTACAGGCATATAAAGTTTAAAAAAATACAAATGGTTTCTTAGTTTGGCGATTCTATAACCTTCATTCCAAATATGGTTGAACTAAATGATAGCATGTTTATTTCACCTAACTGTAAACGTGTCAAAATGACAATTAAAGCATTGGTTCAGAAAATAAACAATTTTTGTTTTAAATAGTGAAATAAGACGGATTTGGCACCCATGTTGACTAAGACCGTCTACTGGCAAAATTCTCTAGTTAACGGTAGCTAGCGTAGTGATAGATGTCAATGCCTGTGTAAATGAATATGTGTTCGAATGCCAGTTCATATAACAACTTCATATTTGCACCCTAACTCGCAGAAATAACATTTTATTTCACTCATTTGGCTAGATTCTACATTCGTCGGCGAAGACCGTCATGCAGGGGTTGTAAACAATTAATAACTAAACAATTAATAACTAATTGAAAAAACGGTTCATTGTTAATTTTCGGTTCTACTGAAAACACGTTTTCACCAATCTCGGTTTCAAAGGTAACAATATGGTTCTGTACAGTTACTTCTGGCGGTGTGTTGCGACTATTTATTTTGCACTATCCGGCTACAACTTTATATTAAAAAAATCAAGTAAAATTGACACTAAAGATTTCGGATTTCGCTCAGTGTCTTGTTGCTCTTCTGTTAAAATATGTTCCTTATTTCTCTGCTGCAGAAATATTTCATTCCGTTGTATTAGTTTCACCATATCAAATTTGTCTTTATTTACTTCATCACGGTTTACTGGGTAAATACCAAATTTTCTGAAACCATTTCGCAACACTTGGGCATCTATTCCAGACCAAATCTGCGCAATCAATCGTGAGAATTCTGATTTGGAACATGAATTTTAAAAAGGTTTAAAAAAAAATGTTGAGTATGTGGCAAAGACCGTTGTATGACATTCATTACCCTCCATGGCCTAGACGGACTTCGCCACGGCCTATTTTGAGTTTAGCTTTTAATTTGATGAACTATAACTTCGTAAAAAACGTATATTTTACTAATGTAATTTACTATCACACAGATATATCATAGAAGAATAAAATTACTTGCATAGATCCTCCAAATAACTTATATTTCAACACAAATACCTTTTTTTTACCAACGTGGTGCACTCCCGATGCAAGTGCTTTAGCGTACTGAAATAACAAAAGCGTTTTATTCCGTTCATACTAAGTACGTATAGCGATATCTTTGTAAATTAATATAACTTAAATAGATTTATTGTGCCCCTAATTTTTTCCCATTTTTGTAGCTCTACTGAATTAGCAGTTATTCGTGTTAGACAATCTTACCCTCCAGACGATCTTACCCGAACTGACCCTATCTATCTAATTTTATCAGAAGTTGTGCAAATATCGAAACCAATTTTTATTGACCCATGAACAGACGAGCCAACATATTTCTTCATAGCGAGAATGTTAGTTTCATTAACCGATCATTATGCTTCTAATATGTATAACAATATCAAAACTGTTAGTATCAGAAACTCCTACTTAATTTTAATCTTAATATTATTTTATATTTCTACGGTTATTTTCAAGACTATAAAGCTAAGCTATCTATAGAGGTTAACGGGTCAAGTAATATGGACCGATGTCGAATATACGACGATACAATTACCTATCATACACATAATTTGAATACGACAACTATAATTCTAAGTACTACAGAAAATAATAATTCTCTGACATCCAGTAATAAGCTGAATCTTCAGACTACAAATATTGTTAAGTTGGAAAAAAGCAAAATTATTTCTTCTGGAATTACAAACAGAACTCGAAAACCTTATCCATTCAATAGTGATAACAAGAAACTAAATACTAATAAGATTAAACATCCATCTAAAACTAGTGTTACAATCAGGCCAACCAAAACTTTATATCGTCCACAGCTAGCACCAACAAGACAAACATCCATCCGAAAGATTGTACGACCTCTGCCTTCTAAAAATATAGTACCAACTAATATTATAGAGAGTTCTGAATCGAAATAAAAATATCAGATGAAATTATACCAACTAAAACAGAATTTAAGACAACGATTATCACTTTAACAAAAACACTATCGGAACCACCTCAGACTATTTCCAGCTTTGGTTACTTAAATTTAACACATACTTTAACTGTAATACACACTAAGACCAGTTGAGTTAGTCAGTCGGAAGGAGCTGTTATTGAAACACTGGTTCTTACTAATACACACACTTCTACTGTCAACTGTGGTAGATGTTGTGACAGAAATATTCACTCAAGTTCAGCCTACCACTATAGTTGAAACAGTAACCAAACATATTCCTGTTCAAGTTAAAGTTGAACCGACTTCCGTAATAAACTCAATTCCAAACACCAAGATTGTGGCTCTAGATGATATATCTATGTCTTCAGAAGAAAGAGACAACTTTATAATCAGAGACGATGATGTAACTGAAAATATGTATTCAAAAAATAGAAACTGACGAAGAAAAAGACAATGGCACATTCTTTGTAGTGATGAATAAATCACAAAATGGTGGTAAGTCACCCCCTATTAACACTGATACAGAGGCTGGTGACTATGACGGGGTCACGAGGAACGAACAAGAGACTAATAATGGAGTATCACAGGTGTTGTTCGGTGAAATATTACTCGCGGGAACGCCATACCTAGAAACGACTAATGTTGTTCATCCAACAGGCAAGTATTAACTGATTGAATATAAATTGCTTTAGAACTAATCTACTAGTTGTCGCTTTAATTTTATGTTATATTCTATTTTAATGAATAAATTTTCCCTGGTATAGGATATGGTAAAGAATGTCAACCAGATTGTAAAGCTTCGAGAAATGAAAGATGCCAGAGGATCGATAGTGTTATGGAGTGCGTGTGTAGACCAGGTTTCGCTAGAATGTTCCCAGATCGACCGTGTAAACGTAAGATACTTATTACTATTTTCTATTATACTAAAAATACGAAACCAGTTAGTATTTAACTATTTCAACATAATATTTTAAATGTGCTCAATTTTAGCAACATACACGTACTCAGTAAGATTAGGACTAGGATCTAGAAACAATAAGGTGCTCAAATTCCATAAGAATTTATCGGACAATTCTACTAAAGAATATGAGAGTTTGTCATTGGCTACTCATGAAGGAATAAATAGAAGGATAATGCAATCAGACTTACGGGATGTTTATCACGGAGTCCACATAACAGGATTCCATTCTATTGAGATGAGAACAAAAGACGGTGCATATGAGGGAGTTATCAATGATTTCTACGTTCAGGTACCCATTCAGTAAAGACTTGAAATATGTTATTTTAAACTTATTTTAAATGAATTTTTCTTTAGCTTTAGCTTTAGCGTTATCAAACGCTCATGAAAGCAGACTGAAGGAAGTTATAGAGAAATACTTATCTACGGAATAATAATTATAGTCTTGGTGGAACAGAAATTTATGCATATGAAGAATTTATTGAGAGCCTTAATCATTAATGTCAGTGGTAAGTGAACACTCAAGTCAGTTAATTATAAATACAGAACATTTACAACAAACACAATTTTGGCTGTCTTATTACTCAGTGGCGTGCAAACATAGATGCAAATAATCACTGCATATCCTACCCATATAACAATTAAACCTATATTGTTTAATTCTTACGTACATATTTTTAATCATACATTACGAATAACAAATATTAACAGATATTTAAAACGATACTTAATTTATGATTTGTTAATAAGTGCTATCTACCAATGTAAAAACGAAACTTCGTTCGTTCGTTAATTGTCAAATGAAACGGGACGCTCTGATTGGTCGGTTACCTGTTGATATGTTTTTTCGCCATTTTATTATTTTTGAACATTGTTATTTGTCTTTCTAAGCGCAAGTGAAGAAGTTTTAATTGGTAAACAGTGGATTAATTTATTAACGAATTGTGATTGAGTGATTTATTAACGAATTATTAAAATTATAGCTGTGAGCTCTGTGCTGATGATATGTGTTTATTGAAATTAGTTACGAGATTTTCAATATTGTCGTTTGGTAATAAAATTAAAATAAGTGTAAAGTCAAGGTGTGTGAGTGTGTTGAACTAAAGGAAAGGTAATGTTATTCGTTTTAAAAAAAAGTATTATTTAGTTAGCAGGTTGTGGACACACAAATAAGTTATTTTGTTTGCCTTGTTTCTCATTTCCAAAAGGTAATAATAAGAATATTTCTTATTATTTTTGATATTCCTATTTAAATAGCTTTTATAAAGCTGTGGTGAACAGATCGTTATCGTTTTAAGGTACTTTCGTGGCTCAGAGGAAGTTGAGAGATTCATAAAGTATAGTATAGACTATAGGTGTTCGTTTTGATCGGACTGCTGTCCCTACCATTTTGCGCGAATTTTATCAATGTTTAAATTAAATTAATATTTTCTGATTATTATTCTCGTATTTTATCGTGCACGCCACTGTTACTAATATACTATAAAAATCTAAGAAGCATTTGAATTTTTTCAGATTTCGACGAATGCACAAGTAGTCAGTTCAATGACTGTTCCGAACACTCACGCTGTTTCAACCTTCGTGGAACTTGTACTTGTAGTTGTTTAGAAGGTTTTGCAGACCTTAGCGTCAACACTCTATACCCTGGGAGGATATGTTCTTGTAAGTCGATTTCATTTGCTACTCTGTCGCACGAAATATATGGCGTATTTTAGACATCAAAACATAACCCTTATATATAATTTGACTTTGAAAGCGTTGTAAGATTTCCGACGATAATAAAACTTGTACAAATAATGACATGATGATATTTTAAATTTATTTTTCAATAAAAACTTTCAGCTGACGCAATAGGCTATGCGGGCTGCAACTATCATGGTACCTGCTTCGATCGTGAGAACGCGATGATATGTGAATGTTTCAAATGGTACGCGGGACGAACTTGTCAAGTCAATCTGAAAGGTAAATAGAGACATAATATGAGACTTGAGTAATCTCGAACGACCAAACTATAAAGTACTAGCTGCGCCTCGCGGTGTTGCCCGCAGATTTCCGGGATGTAAAGTAGCCTATGTGTTATTCCTGGACGTCAGCTTCC